TCATTAATAATATATAAAACTTATACATTAATTGTATATAAAATATAAATTCTTAAATTATAAAAGCATGTGTTAAAAGAGTCAAAAGACTAATTCAGCAATATCCTTTTATATTTTATTTGTTTCTAAAAAATAAGAAAAATAGTTTTCCCTCGTTAAATTCATTTCATTCACATTGTATATTTCTTATTTCTCCTTTTGTTTATTCCTTCCTTCTAGAAACGAATTCCAAATGTCAAAATCAAAATCGAAATCAAAATAATGCATTAACTCAAATTGGTATAGTTATGCATGTAGTCAATTTAAATTCAAATGGCAACAAGGCCAACCGACAAAGATATAAAGTAATTATATCTTTTGTGGTATATCATATTATTTCCTCATATTTTTATAATGTAGTATTGTCTCATATTTAGTTTGCGAGAAATTATTTATTTTAACAAAAAAATCTTACTATTTTATCTTATAAAAAATATCTTACAAGTATTTATTTAGATCTTTACATACACAGTATATCATATCCTCACATTCTTTAGAGGCATCACAATCTTTTTCATCAAAATTTGATGTTTTCATTAAGCCTAGCACAAAGCACATATAGTACTAAAATCATATCAAACGTTAGAAATTTAGATGTGGTTCTCACTGTATAGCATTTAACTCTTTTAGGATTCTTGAGGTGACTCTTACAATGTAACATTTAGTTTTTAGAATCACATCAAACGTTAGAATTTTAGAGGTGATTCTCACTGTATAATACTTAACTTTTTTTATATTCTAGAAGTAATTCTTATAGTATAACATTTAGTTCTCATCCCACTAGTGACCGTTCTGATACCATTTATACCCAACTTATGAGATATTATCCATTTTGAGCTGAAGGTCTTAAGATTTTATCGTACAAAATGTGTCTCATAAATTTGAATTTAGATTTCTACATATATATCATATCATCTCTCACATTCTTTCAATGTGGAATCAGGGTAATGTTGACAACCTAACCTGTCTTTGATGGGTTCCGATCTTACCCAACCTCGTAAGGTTGAGTTTTTTTTTTTTTTTTAAATCAAGTTTCGAGTCGGGTCGGAGTTGGATTTTTTTAAAACCCAACTCCGACCCGACCCAATATATATAATTTATTTTTAATTAATTAATTAATTCTATATATTTATTTAATTTTATATTTATATTAAGAAATAATATTTTATATTTTAAAAATAATATTTTATTAATTTCGGGTCGGGTAGGATCAAATACAATTTATACAATATTAGGTCGATCAGGTTCGGGTATGAAAAAATAAAAAAAAATTTTGAATTGGGTCGAGTTCGGATTTTATGAATATAAAGTCAAGTCGGGTTCGGGGCGAGCAAAAACACCCCGACCTGACCCGTTGTCATCCTTAGATCAGGGGCATCACAATCTTCCCCCTGTTAAGCTGCTTGATGTTCTCGTTAAACTCAACACAAAACATACAAAATCATAAGCCCAAAATCACATTAGATATTGAGATTCTAGAAGTGACTCCTACCATATATCACTTAGCTCCCTCAAGATTCTAAAAGTGATTTGTACGATATAGCACTTAACTCCCATATGATAGATGACTGCTCTAATACTATTTATGGAGACCTATATCCAACCTGTGAAGTGTTATCTACTTTGACCCAAAGGTCTCACGATTTTATCTCATAAAAAGTACCTTACAAGTATAGATTTAAATCTTTACATATTATATATTATAACATATCTTCATTTTCTTTCAATGTAGGATTAGAAGCATCACAATCTTCCTACACTAGACATTGAGATTTTAAAGATGACTCTCACCATATATCACTTAGCTTTTTCGAGATTCTAAAAGTGACTCGTACAGTATAACACTTAACTCCTATCTGATAGATGATTGTTCTAATACTATTTGTGAAGACCTGTATCCAACCTGTGGAGTATTATCCATTTTGACTCAAAGGTCTCACGATTTTATCCCACAAAAGGTGTCTCACAAGTATAGATTTAGATCTCTACATATATATACCATAATATATCCTCATTTTCTTCCAATATAGGATTAAAAGCATCACAATCTTCCTATGTAAACGCTTGACATCCCAATCAAACCCAACACAAAGTACACACAGATCTACAGAATCAGGATCACACTAAACTTTGAGATTTTAGAGATGACTTCCAGCGCGTAGTACTTAGCTCTTTCGAAATTCTAAAGGTAGCTCTTTTGAAATTTTAGGATTATAACTAGTGACCGCTCTTATACTATTTGTGACGACTTACACCTAACCTGTGAGGTATTATTCATTTTGACCTAAAGATCTCATAGTTTTATCTCACAAAAAGTATCTTATAAATATTAATTTAGATATTTACATATATAGCATATCATATCCTCACGTTTTTTCAATATGGGATTATCTCTCTATATATAGTATATCATATCCTCACATTTTTTCAATATGAGATTAAGGGCATCACAATCTTTCTTTGTTAAAACTTGACGTTCTCATCATACTTAACACAAAGCACACACAATACCATAATCACACTGGATGTTGGGATTCAAGAGATGGTTTATACTGTGTAGCACTTAACTCTTTCGAGATTTTAGAGGTGATTCTTATGATGTAACACTTAGTTCATGTCTGATTGGTGATCGTTTTAATATCATTTGTATAGATTTGCACCAAACCTATACGGTATTATCCGTTTTGACTCAAAATCTCATAAGTTTGTCTTATAAAAGGCATATCACAAGTTTGAATTTAAGTCTCTACTTATATATTATAGCAGATCTTTAAAATATCTCAATATGGGATTGACATTTCACAAACTTCCCTCGTTAAAGCTTAACATCTATGTCAAGTGTAGTACAAAACACATACAGAATCATAAAATAAAGGTCACACTAAATGTTAGGATTATAGAGGTGACTCTCATGATGTAGCACTTAACTCTCGTTTCTAGATGCGTCTCTCATTATGTAGCACTTAATTCTCGTAGAATTTTAAATGTGACTCCCACAATATAACATTTAGCTGTCATTTGATTGGTAAATGCTCTAATATCATTTATAGAGACTTGAATCCAACTTATGAGATATTATCTATTTTGACTAAAAAATTTCACGATTTTGTCCCACAAAAAAAGTTTCACAAGTTTGAATTTAGATCTCTATATATATATCATATCATATCATCACATTTTTTTAATGTGTGATTGGGGCATCACAATATTCAAAACATTTATCAAACATAATTTAATATCATGGTGTAGCATTTAACTTTCATACGATTGTTGACTGCTTTGATATCATTTATAGAGATTCGTACCCAACATATAAGATATTGTTGGCTTTGATCTAAAGATTTCACGATTTTATCTCACAAAAGATGTTTCATAAGTTTTGATTTAAATCTTTATATATATATATATATATATATATCATATCATATCTTCATATTCTTTTAATGTGAGATTGGAGGTATCACAAGAACATTCCAATCAAACGATTAGTTAATCATGATGCTATGTATATATGTTGCAAAGCTAATCCTTGCATGCAAGATCCTAAATCATCCGAGTTGATCTTGCATGTAAAAAGTATTAGAAACCACTAAACCTGGAGGTCCCAGGTTACTTCATTTGGGGCAATGAATCACTGAATAAAAGTATTTATAAACGAATGGAGTTCCTAAAGTCAAGGTGATCAGATTAATTAACTACACATTCGAACTAGGAAAGCACAAGGTAAGATTTTTTTATTTTTGTTATTTTTGTATGCATTTATCATGATTAGTTTGTTTCTTTTCTATTGTATAGACTTTTAAAAATGATAATTTTAATTAATAAATAAATTATTTTATTTTAATTATTGTACACATCAAACACAAAATAAAATGATATTATTTAATTTAATTATATTTATAATATTACTTTATCTTATTCTATCTTAATATTTTGTACCATACATATCCTAAGTTTATACAATTTATTATTTTAAAGGCTCGTAAAAATTTATGTTTGCTAAATAATGAAATGACTTTATATGATTCAATGTCAATTTATATAATTATACATTAATAGTGTATCAAACATAAACTCATACTTTAATTGAATAAAAGATAAAAGCAAATAAATTCTTATCAACATTTATTTTATCATGTATTATTTGTGGTTGAGTTTAGTATTTCATAAACTATTAAACTATATAAGTGTGTTAGAAGAGTCAAAAGACCTAAAAATTTCTTTTATATTTTATTTGTTTTTAGAAAATAAGAAAAATGGTTCTTACTCGTTAATTTCATTTCATTCAAATTGGATCTTTTCTTATTTCTCCTTTTGTTTATTCCTTCCGACTACAAACAAATTCCAAATTCCAAATGTCAAAATCAAAATCATGCAGTAGTTCAGGATATAGATTGGTATACATCAACATACATTTAGTCAATCTAAATTCCAATGACAATAAGGCCAACCTGCAAAGATATAAAGTAATGAAAGATCCGCTTGTGATAATTATGTCAGGAATTAGAACCCAATAATTTTTCTTTTCTTCTTTATATTAGGACCACAATTAAGTTTTTGTGTGTTTATTTTAAAGAATCATAAAAATTTATGTTTGCTAGATAATGAAATGACTTTATAAAATTTAATAATAATGTATTTAATTATATATTGATAATATATCAAATATAAATTTATATTTTAATTGAATAAAATATAAAAGCAAATAAATTCTTATTAGCATTTCTTTTAATGACTTTATGTAATTAAATGAAAGTGTATAGAATTATATATTAGTAATATATTAAATATAAATTCATACTTTCGTTATATAAAATATAATGAAAAAAAAAATCTTTTATATTTTATTTGTTTCTAAAAAATAAGAAAAATGATTAGGTTTCTTAAAAAAAAGAATTGACTAACTTTTTCATTAAAAATAAAAAAGAATTGATTAGGCTTCGTATGTTAGTCAAACAGAGCCATCATAGAAAAATACCGAATCAACGTTTTGTCCTCCCAAGTTTCCTCCAACAATGGAACTTAGAAACAATTTTCTACCACCCTTTGCCCATCTTGTCTCAGTGTCCTAATATACACTTCATTCTTAGATGCAGAGAGAGAAAAACTTAAAAAGGTAACTGAGCATATAGGAGAAAAACAAAAATGGAAACCTTTGGTCGCGTTTCAATCAATGTTTTCCAGCTTATGATTCTTACATTGTTTCTCATGTGCATGACAACAAACAGTGTTGAAGCTCAAGAGCCGCCTCTTCCTCCAGATTCTGAAAGTAAGTACTAAGCACAGCTTGCAGTTTAAAAATCTCAATCTTTTGTTTAAAAATCAACTCTCAATCTCTTGTTTGAATTGGCCAAAAAAAAAAAAAAATCTCTTGTTTGAAAGTAAATGACATTGAGATTTTGATAAATGTCCAAAAAATTTCCTTTCGCAATTTGCACTTCTCCAACAAGAAGGAAAAGAGTACGAAAATGTTTGAAATGAACTTGCTCTGTTTCTTTCCTGCACAATTAAAGCATATAATTGCGTCGAGGCCTGTTTGCAATAATGGGTTTTATTTTTATTACTTTGCAGTGGAAGCTCTTCATGAGATAGCAGCAGATCTTGGAAAGAAGGATTGGAATTTCAATGAGAACCCTTGCAACAATAAGTCAACCTGGTTTACACCATCACCGCCGCTAAATGTGGAACTGGCAGTAAATAACAGTACTGTCACCTGCAATTGCTCCTTCCCCAATGGTGAATGTCATATTGATGGCATGTAGGTCCTATTTCCTACTCACTGGTTAGAAGAAATTGCTTATTCTAATTTCATTAACCTTACCCTTAAATGCTGTAGCTTTGGTATATATATCTGTGATTGGTTGCATTTATCATCTTAATTTGAGCAGTGAAAAAAAGCATGTTCCTTTACTAAGGAATATGGAGGTACCTCTTCCAGAAAAATGCATATGATGTATGAACTTTGTATGAAAAATCAGTATTAGAATCATCTTCCTTGATTAGGTAATAAGCAGTGCACAGAAATTTTGATTATATTTTTCTAGATGGAGATGACTATGTTGTTGTCTTTTAATCAATGAGGTGCAATTAAATGCTCAAAAAAATGTCCACAAGATTTTCTCTTCTAGTTGAATTCTATGAAATCAAAACATTTTAATATTTGGAAATGAACAAATAAATTTGGCAATGCATCTAAAAGTCTTCATACCCTTTGGGACAGCTATCTTAGAGGGCAGGATCTTAACGGTGTTCTTCCACGCTCACTCTCAAAACTATCGTACCTTAAAACAATGTAAGAAAAGGTTACAACTGATTATTTAATCTTAAAAACAGAATGAATACCATTAGCTTTTATCGATGTTAACATCTTTTCTGTTACTTCTAGTGATCTGCATCGAAACTATATTAATGGTACAATACCCCGTGAATGGGCTGCTATGGAGTTGGAATTTGTGTAAGCTATTAGTGCACTTTATATTGATCATGAGTAGAAAGTGACTCTAGCTTTCATATTTCATATTCAACTGATAGGAATGTATCTGTTTCAGGTCTCTTTCTATGAACCACTTATCGGGGTTGATTCCAGGCTATTTGGGAAACATTACCACCCTTGTCTATTTGTATGCCTTTTCAGTCGTCTCTCTTGCATATCTGTTTTCATTCTATTCCTCTTCTTTGTTTTTGTTTTTGCTTTTTTTTTTTCTCTCTTTTTTCTGTATAACATTATAAGGTTTCTCATTAGTATTATATTTTCAGGAGCCTTGAGAACAACGTATTTTCTGGAACTATTCCTCCTGAGCTGGGGAAATTGGTTAACCTGGAAAATCTGTTAGGCTTCCTTTCCCTCTTATATAGTTGTACATGATTGACGTTTCTCTTTATAAACAAATAGAATAATCAAGCAACACTTGACTCACTTGAAGTTGGCCTGATTTTCCTCTTTGGCAAATGCAGCATTCTTAGTGCTAACTATCTCACTGGAGAGTTTCCCTCAGCACTTTCTAATCTGTCCAAACTAACAGAACTGTAAGTGTTTCAAGAGAACTTTCTGTAGTTATACTGTTAATAAGCTTGTTTTGGTAAGAAATCTTGCTTTTATGAGGGTTCATGCAGTAGGATTAGCAGTAATAACTTCACTGGAAAGATACCCAACAATTTTCAAAGTTGGAAGCAACTTGAGAAATTGTAAGTGTCCTCCTTCCGCATTACATATCTGAAGTCTGTTCAATGCAGTTTTTGGGTGAAATCTTTATTGCTGTTATCTCTTCTGCTGACAGAGAGATTCAAGCTAGTGGTTTTGAAGGGCCAATCCCTCCCAACTTAGCTGTCTTGAATAATTTGACAGAACTGTGAGTTTTGCCTTTTAAGACCTTGTAAAGTAATCTGAATCTATTAATCTCTAAAACCTCATCATTCTCTCATGTCCAAATTTAGACGTTCAAATTACATCACCAAAAGCCTTTTCTCTTTTAACAAATGTTTATGATGCAAATATTATTCAGAAGGATCAGTGACTTACATGGAGAGAGTTCAAAGTTTCCAAATTTACGAAACATGACAAACTTGCGCAGATTGTAAGTCATTACCAAGCTTGCAAAAATCTTCAACAATGTTGTATTAGTCCCTACTTGCAATGATCATTGTCACATGGTTCTTTTTGTAGAATGCTACGGAGCTGCAATATATCTGGACCAATCCCAGAATATATATGGGAATTGTCACGACTACAGATTTTGTACTCTTCTTGTTTCATCTCAATTTTCATTCTTTACGTGTCAGTTCTTATACATTCACATGTGTATTTTTATAAATTTATTGTACTTCAAGCACTTGGAGGCTAAGTGTATTTTTCATTATATTGTTTAAATGTAATGGTTAGCTTTGCATGCCAACTCTTGATGTTCCACAGCTAGGCCTGATTTTGCTTTGTCGAAAATATGTACAATAGTTTCTTTCTTTCTTTCTTTTTGGTGTTTGTTTCTTTTTTTAGTTATCGGTTATGCTTCTTGATAATTTTTCATTGTATTATTTCAAAGAAATTTGCACCTTTAAAGTGATGTTCAGTTCCATTACTCTGAAATATTTATTGCAGACATTTCCTGAACTCTACTATAAATATTAATTAGCAGCTGGAGAACTCCAAACCATAATGTGCTTTAATGTTTTTCCTGACATCATTCTTTCTCAATGCACTCATCTATGTCTTAATGGATTTCACATTTCAACTAAATCATCAGTTGTCATATCAGATTTGTCTATTTCTTACAGAGATCTCAGCTTCAACAAATTGGAAGGCAAAATTTCAGGTTCTAACAGCCTTACAACTACAGAATACATGTAAGCACTTTGAACTCCTGAGGTGTATTTGTGTGCAATCTAGAATCCTCCATCTTTGAATCCATGAGAAGGAAAACTTATTATACATGATCTTGAAGTTGATTGTTGACACAACCATTGGTGTATTTATGTTAAACAACAGTTTTTAATAGGCTAGTTTAAATTTTAAAATTTAAACTTTTTTATTCCTATGGTAACATAGAACATCATAATTTGTTTATTTATCTGAGTGGTGTACTTAAATGGAAAACATCATTGCCATAATAAAACCAGTCTGCTGATACTAACATTTAAAAGAAAAATTTCAGAAACAGGAAAAATAAAAGAAAAAAATTGCAAATTAGTATTGGAAAATTTCTAAATTTTGATTAAATTTATTCACTGTCGCTTTAAAAAAATAATCTTTCGAGATTTTTTCAATACAAGTGCATATCTGTGGTTTTATATGTTGCTTACTGAATAGGTACCTGACAAGTAATTTGCTCACCGGCCCCATTCCAGACTGGCTGAATACCAGAGATGGCCGCTAGTATGTTTGCTTTCCCTTTTTCTTTCTTATTTTGGCAATTTTGACATCATAGCAGTTTATTTTCTGCATTTCATTAATGACTTCTGAATGAATTCTCATACTTTTGTTACATGATTTGCACATGCTAACAAACATATAATTGCATAGTTCTCAAAATTAATTTATCTTTCCTTCAAGGCCCAATTACAGAGCATTAAGCCTGCCTGCAAAATCATCTAATATCTTTGATTGATCTGGATTTAGTATCATGTTTCCAGAATTATTCCTAGAGAATTTCCAGCTAATCTAGCTGGAATCATTTGCTTTCCGTTTTGGTTTCTAAAGGTCTATTTATGTTTCATGATATTGGCGAAGTACACATGATAAACTGATATTTTGAAAATCAGGCTCAAGGGGGATTGACATTGAGATGTTTGTTTGTCATGGTAGAAGTTCCATTTAGTTCTACAAAAAGCATTAAAAATAAAAAGATTTGAACTTGCAGATAAATATTATAGGTCTATTGTTTCAATACAACTTATAGAGAGGAATTTTGTGCCCCTTTTTGGGCCAGTAGCTGGAGTTGATATAGCATCCTTCCCTAGCAATTAAACCCTCCCACCTTTGGTAATGGTTTGATTTGATCTTAGGTTATTTACTTATTTACAACCTCCTTTTGAACCTTCTCACCCTTGAATAAAAATCCAGGAAAAATGGCGTGATTCTGATTCACTAAATCACTAAAGACATCAAAGATACATTTGAGGCCATATGGCTAAGACAAACAATTTTCCTGTGAAATACTGTTTAAGTTATAGCAGTTAAACTATTATATTAATCAAAATGGCCTTATATATACCTCAACATTTCAAGTTCCAGTTAGTTACAACTTATTATTCTTCTTTACAGTCAGATAGATCTATCTTACAATAATTTCTCTGAAAGCTTTGAGCCCGATCCTTGTCGTGAAAATCTGTAAGAAAAACTCTCTCCATACTTGGCTTCCTTGTGCTGTGTTTACTTTTCTAACTTTGTAGATGTCTCAAGATATTGAAGTGATTGGTTTGCTGTTTATCAGAAATTTGTTCAAAAGCTCTTCAGGAGGGAAACACTTGTGAGTTTGTAAATTACTGAATGTACAAAAAACATTTTTATTGTTATTTTTATGCTTTCCCTTTTGGATCACTCTTAGAGAAAGCTGATGGTTCTTTGTCTTTCTACTCTAATTCAGAGGACTTGATAACTGCCTGAAGAACTTCCCTTGTTCGAGAGGTAATTCTGAGTTAAAATGCAAATAGACTATGAAGATTTTCACTAGCTGAGGTGATGCCATATTTGAGATCACTGTAGAGATCAAATGTGGCATTGATAGATATTTCTCTTTCATGTTATGCTTAATCAAATATAATTACCATCATTATACCACCACTTGTAGATCGGTATTCAGTGCATATAAATTGTGGTGGAGGTGCGACCGCCATTGGGGACATCAATTATGAAGGGGATGAAGACTCAGGTGGTCCGGCCAAATATTTTCCAATCAAGGAGACTTGGGAAACTAGTAGCACTGGGCATTTCTGGGATACCTCCGGAACGGCAAAGGCCTATATAGCACAAAATGTTTCCATGCTGAGAACAAACAACTCTGGATTGTACACAAAAGCGCGCCTCTCTCCTCTTTCTCTCACTTATTATTTTCGTTGCTTAGCAAACGGAAATTATACAGTCACACTTCACTTTGCAGAGATAGTTATCAGACAAAATAGTTCCTTTCAAAGTCTTGGAAGACGAATATTTGATGTTTATGTTCAGGTAGCTAATAGGATTATATGTGAAGTGTGCATTTTGCATGTTACAGAAATGGTTTAATTGAATTGATTTATTGCAGGAGAAACTTGAATTGGAGGATTTCAATATTGCAAATGTGGCCAAAGGTGTTGATCAGGAAGTTATAAAGAGATTTAAAACCGTTGTTAGGGACAAAACTTTGACAATACGCTTCCACTGGGCTGGGAAGGGGACAACTGCTACTCCGAAAAGAGGAACCTATGGTCCACTGATTTCAGCTATCTCAGTAGAGTCTGGTAAGTTTGGTATTCTATATATGTACACTCTCATTCTTCATATGTGCCAGCTGCCAAGTAATTAGTATTCTTTCTCCCATCTCCTAGTTATTTGAGTCCCAATTGTTCTCTAAGTAGTTTAGTGCTTGAGGAGGATTGACTTGCAAAAGGATGTAAAGCAATACTGGAGTTGCCCTTAACTATTCTTGCCTGACATAGGATCTTTGTTCTTGGAAGCAGAAGTTTAGACTGTTCCAGAAACAAAAGATCCAATTTAGTTATCTGCTTTAACCATTCCATAATATATCCTAGTTACCAAGTACTTCAAAATTCAAATAGTGAATAAGTCTATTATTCTATCAACATATGTATATGCCGTGTTACTTCAGGGGTTGTAGTTTGAGAATTGCTTTTTTTACCAGTTTTATCCTCGCTTTGTAGATTTTAAGCCTCCAGATCCAAATGGTTGGAAGAGGAAGATGAAGTTTGTGGTTGCAGCTGCAGTTTCTGTTCTATGCCTCATTTTAGTAATATTAGGCATTTTATGGTGGAAAGGCTATTTTGGTGACAAGATCTCAAGAGAACAAGGTACTCTAAATAAACTTGAACTTTAAGATATAATTTTTTTACCTTCAATAATTAATCTTAGATGGTTTCTTTGCACAACTGTATGCTTTGCATGCTTATTGACATTATAATTTAACTTTTTCCCCTTCTTTTGCTAAGTCCTGAGGGGATTAGATCTGCAGACTGGCTTTTTTACCTTTAGACAAATGAAAGCTGCTACTAACAATTTTGACATTGAAAATAAAATCGGAGAGGGTGGTTTTGGATCTGTCTATAAGGTACCTGTACTCCATGGTTTCTCTTTGACAATCTTGTCTTCATTTCTTTCTGTTTGATGATGTTTAGAAGTTGTTCTTACAGTGTTGAATATTTAATCTTGATATACAATTGCTGTAGGGTGTACTACTAGACGGTACTATAATTGCAGTTAAACAACTTTCTTCAAAATCAAGGCAAGGAGACCGTGAATTTCTGAATGAACTAGCCATGATTGCTGGATTACAACACCCAAATCTTGTGAGGTTGTATGGATGTTGCGTTGAGGGGAACCAGTTATTGTTGGTGTATGAATACTTGGAAAATAATAGCCTTGCACGCGCTTTATTTGGTAAGCTTCATATATCCTTTTACCTATTGACTACATAGCCGAAGCAGCTATCTCCCTTTAACTGCCTCCACCCTCCAGAAAAAAATGGTGTTGATCTCATATCAACCATAGGAACCAAAAGCTCTAAACTCTGTATATTGACAACTATTTGATGAATTTCATTGGTTGGGCCATGTGTGTCAATACAGGTCCCAAGGAAAGCCAGTTGAAATTGGACTGGCCTACCAGGCAGAAAATTTGTCTTGGCATAGCAAAAGGTTTGGCTTTCCTACATGAGGAATCAAGTTTAAAAATTGTTCATAGAGACATCAAAACTACCAATGTGCTGCTGGATGGGGATCTCAATGCTAAAATCTCTGACTTTGGTTTGGCCAAGTTTGACGAGGAGGAAAACACCCATATAAGCACCAGAGTTGCTGGAACAATGTGAGCTACCTTTTTCACTTCTGTTTTTCTCTGAAAGAATCTTCTGCTCATCAGTGCATTTCCTTGAGTTATGTATATTTCTGCTGAATCTGATAAACTCTACCTTTTTTTTCCTTTTCTGTTTCTCGTTTCAAATTCAATTACAAGTTTAATAAATACTTTGCTTTAGTATCTGAAAGATGTTTATGCAATTATGATTCATAGGGATAATAAATGAGTTTTAATCTTATTGTCTAGAAATGGGAGAGATTGTTCATTTGTTTCCTTCACCTCCTAATGCTCACGTCTGAAATATACTGTGAAGCAGAAGAAACCAATGATTTCTATCTTGATAATCTACTTAATTAAAATCAGACATATTACATGCTTGGCAGTGCCTTGCTTATTGCTCCTATTTTGCAGAGGATACATGGCACCAGAATATGCATTATGGGGCTACCTGACCTATAAGGCAGATGTTTACAGTTTTGGGATTGTTGCATTGGAAATTGTTGCTGGAAAGAACAATACAAGATATAGACCAGAAGAGGATTACGTATGCCTCCAGGATTGGGTAAGATCGAGTGTCTGTTTTAAGTTCTAAATATTCTATTTTTGATTCTGTTCTTGAGGTTAAGGTAAATTGAACTTCTCCATGCACTCTGCTAATTTATTGTTTTCCTTTTTCATAGATAGAGCTCTCACTGTAAAACTTCTACAGAATCACGACTTCTTTAGCTATCCTTTCACTTTACATCTGTTACATTATTGCAGCTTAGTTCTTGCGTGCCTTTTCTGTCCCTTTTCCCTTGTTCTCTTGTAATGTCTTTGCTTTCCTCTTTGTATGTTTAGGCTCTTGTTTTACAACAAAAGGGAAATCTAATGGAGTTGGTAGATCCAACGTTGGGGAGCGAGTTCAACAGGGAAGAGGCACTTAGAATGACAAAAGTAGCTTTATTGTGCACTAATCCATCACCGGCACTTAGACCTATCATGTCTGAGGTGGTAAAAATGCTTCAAGGTCGATCACTTGTTCCTGAGTTAATCATGGATCCAAGTATCTTTGGTGATGAGTCAAGGTTCGGAGCCCTAAGAGACCAAATCAACCAGATGCAACCTCGGAAGCCTAGTGAAACTAGTACCTTCACTCCGTCATCAGATTCAGCGGTATTGCCTGGCTCTTCCTCAATGTCTGTCTAGGATTATATCAAATGAATGTTGGTTCTTAGTAGCGTAAAGATGGTATTTATATATGGATTATTATTTCATAGACGATCGGGAGAGGATTTATAGTTTCAGTAACAGTATCCTCCTTTACATTGTGACAATTGAGAAGGTGCCTAATAGCACTGTCTGGCGATGCTTGATCCAGGGGGCACCTAAAAGTTAAAGCTTATGATTTAGAATAATTTATGCATATATATAGTTTTGACTATAAATCCTATGCAGATTTGCAATCGAGATCAGTGTATCCATAATTATAAAAACATTGAAAAGAATCTTATTTACAAAATTAACTTTAGCAAATTCTTATGTTATACTTAATAAAATTCAATGTTCATAAGCTAATAATAATAACAGCAAGCACGCTTGAGATTGGAATGGACCAAGTCAAATATTCAAACATTGGCCTAATTTCCGAAGAAATCCTACAGCTTGAGTACGTAGTACCCCACTAATCGAACCCTTTGTCTCTGCGACTTTAAGCAAGTTGATTTTGACTGGTTTCACTTAAGTCATGAAGCCTGACCCTCACCTAACTGTTTCATTGCCATAAACACTTGAACCGACAGCATGTGCTTGTGCCAACTTAAGGAGTTATTAGGATGATGCATGTGTCACGGATTTAAAGGGAGTTCTGAATCTCACATCGAACATAATAGGAAGGTCACTGGGGTATAAAAGGGTTCACACCATTTTTCCCTTGTGAGGCCCCTTTTGTAGGACAAAACCGTGAGGCCAAGGGGGCCAGAGCGGACAATATCTCACAAGGGTGTGAACCGTGGCGGAAGGCTAATCTGGGACGCCGGAAGGGTGAATGTCCGGGTCTCGGAGCCGCGCGGGTTCGGAGCTTAAGTCTCGACCCGTGACAAGTGGTATCAGGTCAGCCCTAAACCGTTCGATCCACGCCAAGCACCTCGAGAGAGGTAGGCAAGGTGGCTAGCCTCCGTGACGAAGGCGTCACGAGGTTGGGTGCGGAAGAATGTCACAGACCTAAGGGGGAGTCCTGAATCCCACATCGAACATAATAGGAGGGTCACTGAGGTATAAAAAGGTTCACACCATTTTCATCTTGTGAGGTGCCTTTTTTAGGACAAAACCGTGAGGTCAAGGGGGTCAGAGCGGACAATACCTCACAAGGGTGTGAACCGTGACGAAAAGCTGATCTAAGACGCCGGAAGGGTGAATGCCAGGGTCTCGGAACCGCGCGAGTTCGAAGCTTAAGTCTCGACCCGTGACACGTGTATCTACTTTCTAATCAATTAAATCAAAACTTTTGATGGAATTTTTTTTCTCTTTAATAAGGTCGCTGGGAAAATTGAAAATTTCGAGATAATGTTAACAAGGAAAAGTCTATAAATTAAAAAACATTGTTTTGACAATTCTCATTTATCGATTTGTTGACTTTTCATTCTGCTCTCTTTTTTAACACCAAACAATTCCCTGCAACTGGATTATGTAGGATTTTAGGATCAAACATTTGACAATATTTTATAATATGGTTAAGAAGTTACACACTTGGACTTTGCATGTGAACTCATGAAGTCTTTGAGCTAACATTATTATTAACACCTTGTTAAAATAGAGGATCTAAAAATTTGTAGGGACATTACAGTCAACTGATCAGTTAATCATGATGCTATGTATATATGTTGCAGAGCCGATCCTTGCATGCAAGATCCTAAATCGACAAGAAAGGTAAGAAGTATCAGAAACCATTAAACCAGGGAATCCCAGGTTATTTCATCTGGGGCAAGGGAATCACTGACTAAAAGTATTCACAAATGAATGGAGTCGTAAAGTCAAGGTGATCAGATTAGTTAGCTGCACAGAACTGGGTAAGCACAAGGTAAGATTTTTTTTTTTTGTTCCTGTCATTTCTGTTTGCATTTACCATGATTAGTTTGTTCCTTTTCTGTTGTAAATTTGATTTTTTTTTTTTTCAATCAAGTTTGTTATATATACTATGCCTGCCTTATTGAACAGTACTTTTGAGCAAACAACATCCATACTTCCAGTTTCATTTTTAACCCTACTTTCCTCTCTTCTTTTCATTGTCACATCTGAATAATATGCTTGAGATGGTCCAAGTTTTTTGTACTAATCTATGACTGCGACATGTGTTGCCACTTGACAGAGGCCACTGAAACCATGCAATAGCCATAATTGAGAAGTCAGTTTCATATTGATTAGTACTGTGTCCGATTGTAAGAAAAAATAAAAAAAGAAAAAGGAGAAAAAAAAGTTCAGACGGAAAAAATTATTTTCCAGTTGTTTAGTCACAGAGCAATGTGAATGAAATGAAATAAACCAAGACAAAACTTTGACTCTGATAAATAAAATAATACATTTAATGAAATAAACCCTAAATCCAAACACAAATAAATCATGATAACAGAAATGCTAATAAAAACTTATTTGCTTCTATATTTTATTCAATTAAATTATTATTTATATTTGATATATTATTAATATGTAATTTTATACATAATCAATGAACTATATAATGACATTTCATTACTTAATAAATATAAATTTTTATTATTTTTATAATAAATACACAAAAACTTAAGTTTTTTTTAAAATATTTTTATTAATAAAATAATTTCTTGATAACGTATAAATTAATTTTATATAAAATATAAACTCTTAAATTATATAAGCCTGTTAAAAGACTAAATAATAGTTTTTTATATTTTATTTGTTTCTAGAAAATAAGAAAAATAGTTCTCTCTCGTTAATTTCATTTCATTCACATTGTATCTTTCCTATTTGTCCTTTTGTTTATTCTTCTACAAACGAATTCCAAATGTTAAATCAAAATCAAAATCACGCATTAACTCAGGATACAGACTGAATAAACGTCTGCATGTAATCAATCTATATAAATTTTTATTATTCTTTATAATAAATACACAAAAACTTAAATTTTTTTTTAAAAATTTTTATTAATAAAATAATATCATAAGATTAATTGATAGCTTATAAATTAATTTTATATAAAATATAAATTTTTAAATTATATAAGCCTGTTAAAAAAGTCAAAAGACTAAATAATAGTTTTTTATATTTTATTTGTTTCTAGAAAATAAGAAAAATAGTTCTCTCTCGTTAATTTCATTTCATTCACATTGTATTTTCCTATTTGTCCTTTTGTTTATTCTTCTACAAACGAATTCCAAATGTTAAATCAAAATCAAAATCACGCATTAACTCAGGATACAGACTGAGTACACGTCAGCATGTAATCAATCTATATAAATTCAAATGGCAGTAAGCCCAACCGGCAAAGATATAAAGTAATGAAAGATCAGCTTGTGGCAACTATGTTGGAGTTAGAACCCAATATATATATTTTTTATATTAGCACTACAATTAATTTGATTTACGTTTCACTATAAAAATATATATTATTAGAAGTATGACTCAAATTTTATTAAAAAATTTATTTTAAATTGATTAGATATTACTTAATGAATAAAAAAAAAAATTTTTTTAAAAAATTTTTGATAAATAAGTTTATACGTTTATAAATTGATGAAATCTTTATAGAATTAATTAATTATATATATAAAAGATATAAATGAGTTATAAGTTTTTATAAGATAGACATTTCATGAGATTAAAGAAAATTAATATTTTTAGGTGTGTATATTTGAATGGATTAAAGAAAAATGAGATAATACATGGATGTACATAGGTATGTATTTATTTAGATTGATAATATTTCATAAAATTAAAAGAGATTGAAAGGGTATATAAATATTGATTATTAGTGTTTGATTTGATTATTTTTTTATAATTCTTTACAGTTAATAAATTTTTTTTATTCGTGAACGTAGATTAATTTAATCAAATTATGTTAAATTATTATTTTTTTGTGTAATTAATTGATTGTTTATTTTATTTTTGTTAACGTGAATGTTTAATTGATTGGACTTTTTGTCCATAATATGTATCTTACATACTTTTTACCACCTTATTCAGTATAAAACGAACCCATATTCTATCCCAAATTCTCAATCTTTTTCCGAATATATATAAATTTGCTAAAAGGGAGCCCAAGGAAGTGTGAAAACGGGTGGTGAATGTGAGGATGGAAAGAGCCGGTGAAATGTTAGGAACCAAGCTTATATCAGGCATGCTTGTGCTGCTAATCATGTTGATGTCGATGGAATTAGCTCTCAAAATTGAAGCACAAGCAGGAAAGCTAGCAAGTGGTGAAGGTAATTAAGTGGGCTTTTGGAACTATTCTTTTTCTAATATTCCTTCACCTTTCAAGTTCATTTCTTGGATTCTTCCCACTTTTAAAGGTCTCCTGTTCTCATTTTCCTTCCTATGGAAACACTATATAATTGGTTCTCTCGTTGCTATACAGCACCAAAGGGAAGAAAAAAATTGTTCTTGAGCCTTTGCTTTGCCTTAACGTTGAGCATATTGTTTAGATGATTAGTTTAACTGAACCGGAGTGTTTGATATCTGCAGTGGGTGCTCTTCGTGAAATTGCCATACAATTAGGGAAAACAAACTGGAATTTCAGTGTAGACCCTTGCAGTAATCACTCAAGCTGGAGAACTGCAGAAATAGATCCAAGGAAATTGTACAATAATACTCTCTTCTGTAATTGCTCCTTCCCTGGTAATGTCTGCCACGTCGATAGCATGTACGTATGCTCCATATTTACTACTTTTAGTTAGTATTACTGTCTGCTTGACTTTGACTGGGATCATGGGTTAGGGCTCATGCTCCTACCAACAAAGCCCACGACCACGAGACCCGATTGTATTTTGTTTTTGGGTTTTGGGCTCTTGGTTGGCACTTGTTCTCATAAATCGTAACTATTTGGAATTCTAGTGTTAATTTCAACCTTAAACAGTAGCCATTCACATTGTAGTTACGGACCTTATGGTATGTTGTTCTTCACTAGTTGGGTATAATATGTAGAGTTGAAGGGGACAATCTTTGAACTAGTATATATTTCTTTTCGAGAAGTTTAAGATAATTTACTACTAAGATGTAATGGAGGGTTGAGCTTCTGCTTGCATGAGTTACTGCAAACTGGCATTCTTAGACGCCCTCAACATGCCCCTCTGATCTCTAGAGTTAAAAACAATGGGACAGTGATTACTTTGATATGTAAATTCACTTATACCCATTTTTAGTAGGTTTATACATACAGTGTGTGTATATATATATATATATATATATAGCTAAATAATACTTGGTTCTTGTGTGCTTGTATATTGCAGATATCTTAGAGGACAGGATCTGCCTGGTGTACTTCCACCATCGTTGGTGAAGCTACGGCACATTAGGGTCGCGTAAGAAGGGCTCGCAATTCTGTGTTTTAATTAACATTAGATATTAAAAATTACTCCAAATGGTGGCCCTTTTCTGTTTTTGTTAATGGATTTTTTTTTCTTAATTTCTTTATAGTGATTTTTCACGGAACTACCTGAATGGTACAATACCACGCGAATGGACATCTACAAAGTTAGAGAGCTTGTAAGCGACGTTTGAAATTCATGTTTAAGTTTTTGTAGTAATTGTGTAACACATTCATTGAGGTTTTTCTGGAGATTCATGTTCAGGTCTGTTACTGTCAACCGGTTATCGGGACCTATTCCATCCTACTTAGGGAATATTACCACACTCGTAAATCTGTATGTTCATCTATCTTTTTGTTCATCTCTACTTATCATTTTTTTCCTTGGTGTAAAGTTTTAATAGACTGCTGCATGTTCAGGACCCTTGAGAGCAACAATTTTTCTGGACATATTCCACAAGAACTTGGGAAATTGTTTAACTTGGAGAAGCTGTTGGTCCCTTTTTCCCTTCATTGTCGAACAGATTGTCTATGCATGAATTCTTTAGTTTTCAAAAGATATCATCTAACAGATTGAATAATCCCAGAGTATAACCATTTTGACACTGATTTGGTCTTCTCCATTGGTGACTACAGCGTTCTTAATGCTAACAATCTCAAAGGAACGTTACCCCGGGCTCTCACAAGTTTGACCAAGTTAAGAGAATTGTGAGTTCTTGTAACCTTAGTGCTTATGCAGTGTTATGGCTACAGTATTAGATTTTGTCAACAAAAGTTCGGCTTTTGATGTCACTGAATCCCATTTTCATGTTTGTCAATGTGCAGTAGGATTAGCAGCAACAACTTCACTGGAAAGGTACCCAATTTTTTTCAAAATTGGAAACAACTCCAAAAGTTGTAAGTATCTTGTTCCTCTTTCCTCTTTCAGGAGGCTTCCAGTGCAATTTTTTGTAGTTAATTTATTCTTGGTTAACAGAGAGATCCAAGCCAGTGGTTTTCAGGGCCCAATTCCTCCTAGCATCTCTTCCTTAAATAACTTAACAGAACTGTAAGTTTGCATGCCTTCTTAGGTCACAATCTCCATGAATGCCATAAGTTCCTTTCGGAAGATAAGATATTTACTTATGATTTATAAACAAGCTTTTGTTACCTTAACAAATGTATTCTGATTTAATTTCATGCAGAAGAATTAGTGACCTAAATGGAGGAGTTTCACAGTTTCCATCCTTAAGAAACATGAAAAGCATACAAAACTTGTGAGTTATTTCTACAGTAATAAGATTCTTGAAACTCAGAAGAATGTACACTTTGCTGTAATTGGTCTTTAATGGAATTAATTTATGTTGCAGGATGTTGAGGAGCTGTGGCATATCAGGAAAAATACCTGATTATTTATCAGAATTGTCAGAACTAAAAATTATGTAAAGCTGCTCTTCCTGTATTCTAGTTGCAACTATCTGCCTTGTAGATTATAATATTTCTTATAATATATTCACTTCTAACAATTTCATCATGTAGTGTTGGTTTTAGCTACATATATTCACTCACTTCCCTCTGTCTCCTTTTTCCTTCCCAATAAAATTAAATAAAAAAGAAAAAGAGGAGGAAATGAAAATGAAACAAAGAAAAAGCACCTGAAGACATCCTAGGAATGAAATATTATTATTTTGAAGGACTTAAAGTGAGTTTAAGATGAACCTTTAGTGAATTTGCTCATAACCCCAATGTTTTGTACTCTGTGGAATTTATTACTGTTGGCAACACCAACCAGAACATATTAATTCAGTGATGTCAAATCTTCATGCTTCAGCTCTAAAGTAATGACAAGATGCCCTATGAACACAAATATCTTCCCGGAACATATCATTTTCACTGAACTTAACAATTCGTGATTAGGTCTGTTCCAGATAGACTTCCTTTTATTTGTTGCTTGGCAACCTTCCATGCTTAATATTTATTTAGAGCTTCAGGCACTTGTTTATGAAGTTAATTGATATTTTAAATTTTAATCGACATTCACAGTAGTTCAGATTTGCGTTGATCAAACAGATAATCAACTATTTATTTGTTATGCTTCTTTTTCATGTTTATATGACTTGAAGCTTCACAAAAAGTAGCGAGCATATTGCCTACTAAATGCATTACACCAACAGTGAATAAATATTCTTTTCTGTTCTAATTTCTTGCAGTGATCTCAGTTTCAACAGATTAGTAGGAATTATTCCAAATTTTGCGAATCCAACAAAGATTGAGTACATGTAAGCATTTCATAATCAAAAGTGTCATGCTTGTGATTCACTGAGGTTTTCCCAGTATATTTTCCTCCGTTCCTTTTCTGAAGCTCACATGGAGGAATTGTTTCAGATGCTAAGCATATCTTCTGTTATCATCTTTATAAAGTAGACTAATTACCAAGGGTGGCATTTAGCCTTCCATGGGTGGAAAGGCTTGAAGCATTATATTTTAATCTTGTAAAATATTCAACCTCTATATTTTTCTGTGTTCTTTTTTTTACGACATTTCAAGCTTCAAAGTTCTAGCAGTGAGTGTTTTAATTATAACGTGATTATGATGCTAACTAAATAGGTATTTGACAAACAACTCACTCAGCGGTCCCATTCCTGACTGGATCAAGAGCTCAAATAGTCGCAGGTAATTCATGTTTAGTTCCATCTTTATGATGCCTTAATATAGTGAAGAAATCTCTAGAATAAAATTATTTTATTCTTTTATATATTTTTTATTACAATATTAAAATTATATGAAAATATATAGATTAAAAATTGAATATTCTCAGCCTTAAAATCTAAGATTTTTATATATTAAAATAGCTAATCAAATGAATAATTTAATCTCTACATATAATAAGAAAATATTTAATGGATTAGGTGTAATTACTTAAATCACTCAGACTTAACTAAAATAGATAAAGTCAACTAATTGAGTAATAATGAAAATTAGATTTTCTCACTTCCTCTCAAGTTGAGTGATAGATGTTAATCATGCCTAGTTTGGATTTCAGATTCTCGAAGTTGTTTCAAGAGAAAGCCTTAATGAGTATGTCTGTACTTTAAAGGCATGTGGGAGTATAAACTAATCTAATAATTCCTTCATCTATCTTCTCTTTGATGAAGTGACGATCAATCTCCACATATTTAGCCCTATCATGATGAATATGATTATTTGCTATACTTATGGTAGCTTTGTTGTTGTAGAATATGTTCATGGATTCTTCTACAAATACCTTTAACTCCATTAAGCACTCTTTTCAGCCAAATTCCGTCACATATGCTATGAGACATGGCTCTAAACTTAGCTTCTGCGCTACTTCTAGCCACCACAGATTACCTCTTGCTTTGCCAAGTAACCAAATTTCCCTACACATAGGTACAATAACCAATAGTTGATCTTTGGTCAATAACGGATTTAGCCCAATCGACATCAATGTAAATTTTAACATTTTAGCGTGATGTCTTCTTAAAAAATAACCTTTTGTTCGGACTCTTTTTTAGATACCATAAGATTTGATACACAGCATTTAAGCGTTCCTCAATTAGGTTGTTCATGAATCTGCTTACCATAAGAACTGAAAAATTGATATTTGGTCTGGTATGAAAGAGGTATATGAGTTTCCCAACAAATCTTTGATATTTGCCCTTATCTGTTGGTGGATTTCCTTCTTCCATTCCTACCTTATTTATTGTGTCCATATGGGTGTCAACTGGTTTGCATCCAAGCATTCCAGTTTCCTTTAGTAAGTCTAGGACATACTTACGCTGTGAAATAGAGATGTCATTCTTTAAGCGAGCTACCTCCATGCCAAAAAAATATTTGAGATGTCCCAAATCTTTGATTTTAAATTCTTTGGCTAGGAGGTTCTTTAGGTTGTTAGTTTCTTCCATATAGTCTCCAATAAGAATAATTTCATCCACATAGACAATAAGAATGGCTATTTTTCCTTCAAATGAATATTTGACAAACATGTTGTGATCAGTTTGGCGTTGTGAAAAATCATACTTTTTTATCACTTTTGTTAGTCTATCAAACTATGCACATCGGGATTATTTGAGGTCATATAAAGACTTTTAAAGCTTACATACCTTACTAAAATTGTCTCAGTTTACGAATCCTTGGGGAATTTTCATATAAACTTCTTCTTCTAGGTTGCCACTAAGAAATATATTTTTGACATCTAATTGTTTGAGTGGCCAATCTAGATTTGCTACCAATGATAACAACACCTAAATTGAATTAAGTTTAGCAAATGGAGCAAATGTCTCCTTATAGTTAACACCACAAAATTGAGTAAACATTTTTGCAACAAAGCAAGCTTTGAATCTATTAATACTTTCATCTGCATTGTGCTTGACAATAAAAATATATTTGCACTTAATTGGATTTTTCCCTTTGGGTAATTCTGAAATCTCTCGTGTTTTGTTCTTTTCTAGGGCCTTGGTTTTTTCCAAAACAGTATCTTCCATTTTGGTTGCATGAGTGCTTTATGAATATTATTTGGAATCTGTATATTGTTTAGTTTGGTAACAAAAGTTCGATAACTGGATGATAAACCTTCATAAGAAATCATATTACGATTGGGTGTTGAGTACATGATCTCACACTTTTCCTTAGAGCAATCAATTGATCAAGATCATCAAAAAATTCAATTGAATTATATTCAATAAGAGTGTTACCTATATTGATTTCAAGTATCTCTAGAATCGGTTCAGATTCTTGGTTTTGCTTTGAAGATGTCCATTCTCCTAGATCTTTCTAAGTTTTATGTCTTCTTGAATAGACAATCAATTATTTATTTGTTTTTCCTTGTGTGGACTTTGGGCTTGGAGGATCTGGTTAGATATTTTGGACTTGAAAGGGAGTTTGAGAATTATTTGGTGGTTTGGTAATATGATCTTTCTAAATCTGATATTCTCGTGTGATCGGATTCTCCTATTGAATGGCAGTTTTCAGAAAGGAAGATTGATTTTATAAAAAGGTAATATTTATGGAATGGTAGAATTTTTTTTGTTACTGGTGAGTAACACTTGTATCTTTTATGATTCGAAAAGTATCCAAGAAATATGCATTTGATGGATCTATGACCTAATTTACTTTGATTTTTTTGGTTGCTAAGAACAAATGAAGTGCGTCCAAACAATTTAATGGGAATAGACAAGATGATTCGAAACTGAGGATAGGAACTGAAAAGGAATTGGCAAGGGTTTTAAAATTTTAGGACTCGAAAATGCATTCTGTTTATAAAATATATAATAGTAAGAACAGTCTCACCTTAAAAATGCTTAGGTACAAGGGTAGACATCATGAGGGATCTTACAACTTCTAATAAATGTCAATTTTTTCTTTTAGCAACGCCATTCTACTGAAGAGTGTCGACACATGAGTTTTCATGAATTATACTATGTTTTATTAGATATGATCTAAGAATTGAATTATAATATTCTCTCCCATTATCGATTCTCAACACTTGGATTTTGGTTTTGAATTGAATTTTGATCATATTGTTGAAGTTTTGAAATAGCTTACCCACTTTTGATTTTTCCTTCATAAGGAATACCCAAATAACCCTAATATGATCAGTAATGTTATTTACTTTGAAGGGGCCTCAAATGTCACTGTATATTATTAAAAATGAATGGGATGATTTATAAGGCTGATTAAGATATGTGGTACGAGTATGTTTGGATAGTTGACAAACTTCACATTAAAAGTTGTTAGGATTTTGATTGAATAGTGATGGAAACAACCTTTTGAGGTACAAAAAATTTAGATGACCTAACTGATAGTTCCACAAAATGATAGTACTATCTTTATTATTACAGGAGGATGAAGTCACACAAGAGATCTTTTAATATTATTTTTCAGAATAATTAGCTCTTAGGATATAGAATCTTACACACATCTTAGCATTGCCAATCATCTTCCCCAAGTCCAAATCTTGAAATTCACACATATTTGGAAGAAATTTAGTAACACACTTAAGGTCTCTTGTAAGTTTGCTTATAGATAATAAATTACAACTTAGATTTGGAATAAACAGAACAGAATCAAATGTTATTTCTTTGAAAATAATAACAAAATCTGTACCGATCACTTTTGAAAGTGACCCATCAACAATTCAAACTGTAAAGTTTTCATGACATGTGTTGTATTTACTAAATACGGATACATCCCTAGTCATACGGTCTAAAACTCCTAAATCCACAATATATGAATTTGATTTCTTTAGTTTTACACTCAAAACACTTAAAAAATTACCTTTTTGTGATAAAGAACCTATTTGAATAGTAATGGTAATATTTTGTAGTGATTAGAAAATGCTAGCTTCGAGGTTAGAGATAACCTCCGATGTCGAACTCTCTTTTCGACTGGTCATGCTGGACTCTGAGTGAAAATTTTCAAAAATTCATATCGTACTCTAATATCATGAAGAAATCTCTAGAATAAAATTATTTTATTTATATATATATTTTTTATTACAGTGCTAGAATTGCATGAAAATATATAAGCTAAAAATTGAATATTCTCAGCATTAAAATCCAAAATTTTCGTGCATTAAAATAGCTAATCAAATGAATAATTTACTCTCTATATAGAATAGAAAAATATCTAATAAATTTGATGTAATTACTCAAATCACTCATCATTCTAAATATAAGAAACTTAACTAAAATAGACAAAGTCAACTAATCAAGTAATAATGAAAATTAGATTTCCACATATTCTTAATAACTTCTTGGCACAAATTTACATTCCTACATTCTTGTATGAAAAAATATGCTCGCGTACTAATAAGCGTAGGTTTTATGGATAACATGCCATTTAAAGGGCCAAGTACCCCGTTATGCCATGGCAACAGATATCTATTCTTAGTCTTCAATTTCAAACAGCTTCAGTTTGGCTCTACCCCGACTTGGTATAATGAAAAAGTGATGTTAACTATGTGGCCTGGATAGAGATCAAGTCTGAAGAGTCTGGAATGCTGCAACATACAGCATGCCGTAGATGAATCATTATTACGTGTATATTTGATGCTGTTATGTAGTCCAATAAAACCTCATTAGTATTCAATTCTAATATGTCTTCACAACTGTCTAAAAGATAAAATAGGAAAATAAACTGTGGACTTGATCTAACTCCGCAAGTTCATAAATTTTTGAAACTGTCTATGTAAGCTTGAAGTAGCATCCATTGAAATGTTCAGTTAGCTATATACGAATTATAGTGTTTGCTTTTCTGTCAAGATCTCATAAATGCAGCTATTATTTCTTATCAAAACAATGTAACATGCAGTTATAATATCGTTAAGGAAATATATGTTTAATTTGCAGTGCGGTAGATCTTTCTTACAATAATTTTTCAGAAGACTCAGTACTACCCACTTGTCGGGAAACATTGTAAGAACAATTTTTTCCAAGTTTTTCCTTGAACTTTCAAAATGCATATCCTTTCTTTTTAACTTTTCAAAACTTAGAAAAGAAACTATTTGTTGTTCTATCAGAAACTTGTTCAAAAGCTCTACTGGAGGAAAGAGTTTGTAAGCTCCAACTCACCAAACTTTTTGTTTAATAAAATCCCCGTGCTACTTCACATATATTGATTTCTTTTGTTATTCTATCATCATACAGACAACTCAGTGAGTGCCTGCAGAGCTATCCGTGTTCAAAACGTAATTTACATTTCTTTGATCAAAACATACTATATGCTTCAATTATATTTTCATGCACACTTTGATATTCTCCCTCATTTTGGTGCTTCCTACATAGACCCTGCCGATGACAACAGTACTGTAAATTTCCCTCACATTTCTTTTGTTAATTTGTATATATCTAATAACCACTAATTTGCTATGTTTCCATGCAGATCAATATTCTTTGTATATAAATTGTGGTGGGGGAAAAACTACTATAGGAAACATTAACTATGAAGCAGATTATGACCAAGGGGGTGCAGCAAAATATGTTCCCACGGGATCCAATTGGGAAGTTAGTAGCACAGGACATTTCTGGGATACGAACCCCAGTTCCAATGACTATGTAGCACATAACGTATCGGTACTCAGGATGAATGACTATGACTTGTACACAACAGCACGCCTGTCTCCCCTTTCGCTCATTTATTATATCCGCTGCTTAGGAAACGGAAACTATACTGTGAAACTTCACTTTGCAGAAATAGTAATAAGAGACAATAGTTCTTTCTACAGTCTTGGAAGGCGGTTATTTGATGTTTATATCCAGGTATTAAATCTCATTGTACATGCTCTCCTATATGCTGCAGCAATAATTTGATTGAATTAGTTTGTTGCAGGGAACACGCAGGTTGGAGGATTTTAACATTGAAAGTAAAGCAAAAGGGGTTGATAAGGAATACATTCATGAATTTACCGCTGTTACTGTGAGGGATAAGACTTTGGAGATCCGCTTTCTTTGGGCTGGGAAAGGGACAGCAGCTGCCCCAAAGAGGGGAACATATGGCCCCCTGATATCAGCTATCTCAGTGAAATCTGGTAAGTTACACACTCTTGATGGAGGCCTTCTTTTTCTTCTTACAGTGGTATCTTTCTTTGAGCTTGATATTTTTCATTTTGTGATAGATATAAAAAAGATGCATGCAAACATCTTTGAGTAAGAATGAATAACTTGTTATTTCATAAAATTGAAGCTTCAAGCAAGGCCAATGCTAGGTTCATTTTATATATTGCTTTCTATATCTATCAGAAAATTTGTGCTTTTGGTTCACTATGTAATAACTTAATTTACAAATTTGAATTGTTGGATTGCTTTAGTTATGCATGCCTCTTTGAACTAGCATATAAAAAAACCAACTTGAATGTGATTGGTTTGTTGATTTTCTGTAGAGTTTAAACCTCCAAATGATAGACAAAAGAAGATATTCATTGTGGTTGGAGCTGTAGTTTTGCTTTTACTCCTAGTTATCATGATGTTGGGTGCTCTTTGGTGGAAAGGCTGGTTGTGGGACAGAATATCAAGGGAAGAAGGTGATGTATATCAACTTCATCAAGTTTATGTTTGGGAAGAAAATCAATAGTAGCATTACTGCACTCTTTTAGATACTTTATTATTATTATTATTTTAAATTCAACTGAAAGTAAAACAAAGAGGAGTAGATGCGAAGTTACAGAACAGATGTACCATTCAGATTGTCATTTTTTTTCAAGGTGTTATGAAACTATACAAGGATTAAAAATGATTTGTCATAGTTATGATCAATTATGTTCTCTGTTACTTACCATAGAAATTGAGATCATCACTCGTGTCAATAACATTGTTAAATTAAAATGAAACTCAAAGTGGAGATTCGATTGATCAAGTTCACTAATACCATAAAAATGCATAGAGGAGGTGTGGAGACTGTGGACAGTAGTTTTTAAGGTAATATGTATCCTATACAGTCTGACGATAGTGAAATAAGAAAAACCTCCAATTTGAAGTGACGAACTTGGAGTTTTAATTAGGGCATAAAAGAATAGTAATATTTTAGTCACAATCCTGTAACAAATTCTTTTCTGCATAATCAAAGGAGAAACAGTATCTGCAGCTGTTGTATCTGATTCTTTCTTTCAGATGTCATGAGTGATTTAACTTTCTGAAAAGCACTAAAACACTAAGCCAGAAATCAATGTTACGTATCCGTTATATAAAGCAGCATATTGACCTTGTTCCTCGAACAGAACTTAGAGGATTAGATCTGAAAACTGGTATATTTACCTTGAGACAAATCAAAGCGGCCACAAACAACTTTGATGCAGCAAACAAAATTGGGGAAGGTGGTTTTGGATCTGTCTACAAGGTAACAAACAGCTCTAGTCTCTATTTTTTAACACTCTACTCACTCTCTTCTCCCCCACCTTTCCTTGTTATCCAAGAAAAATACTGATAAAACTTGCATGAGTGAGATGCAAATATGAAAATTCACTTTTTTTTTTCAATCCAGGGCGTACTATTGGATGGTACCATAATTGCGGTTAAGCAGCTGTCTTCAAGATCAAAGCAAGGAAATCGTGAATTTGTGAATGAAATAGGCATGATATCTGGTCTACAACACCCAAATGTTGTTAGACTATATGGATGTTGTGCTGAAGGAAATCAATTATTGCTAGTATATGAATACATGGAAAACAATAGTCTTGCACATGCTTTATTTGGTAAGCTTAAAGCCTTTCCTTATTTGACAAAGAAAGGAATCAATCACTTGATTGGTGATTTATGTCAATGACAGGTACAGAAGAAGTCCAACTGATACTGGATTGGCCAACTAGACAGAGGATTGGTATTGGAATCGCGAAAGGTCTGGCTTTCCTGCACGAGGAATCTCCACTGAGAATTGTTCACAGGGACATCAAAGCTACTAATGTATTACTTGATAAGGACATGAATCCTAAGATCTCTGACTTTGGTCTAGCCAGGCTTGATGAAGAGGAAAACACCCACATCAGCACCAGAGTTGCTGGAACTATGTGAGCTTCCTTCTTTTCTCATTCTTTCAATAATTGCAAGATAATTAGATAATTTCCATCCTTTGGCTATATGAGCATCCAACTGAAAACTTTCAAAATCAATTGGATATCAAGATATTCATTTCTCCATTTTTTCCTTCTTTTTTCTAATGATATATGGGTGAGCATAGTAACTAAATATTGGCTTTAGTGTTATCCCTGAAGTTGAGTTGCTACACATACAAGAATAATGCAGCACCTGAATTCTGCATATAGAGAAGTTTTGCTCAGAAAGTAAAGTTGTAAGAACATTCTTTGCTCCAATATTTGGTAGGAGTAACTAGGATTTCTAATACATACACCATTGCACTAATTTTTATCCACATAAAAAGTAATCTCTTTTAAAGGAACTTTTTCGAGCATGTAATCCAGTAGATGGTTTCCAGAATTGAACTGTATGTGTCTGTGCATGTGCTTGTGTGTAAGTATGTTTTAAAAGAGTGTCACTAATCGTTGTAGTTTTAGTCATAGCATAAACATGTATAAAGCTATCAACAGAAGTAAATCATACACCAGTAACATCTGAAATTATAGCTCACAGAATGGCCGACTTATCTTTGCAGAGGATACATGGCACCAGAATATGCATTATGGGGCTATTTGACCTATAAGGCAGATGTTTACAGTTTTGGGGTAGTTGCATTGGAAATTGTTGCTGGAAAGAACAACATGAAATACCGACCAAATGAAAATTACGTATGCCTTCTGGACTGGGTAAGAATGATCTTCACTACTTTCCTTGCAATTAAAAGAAGATTCTGTGGAGTTTAGACCAGGTGACTTGCTTTGGCGATTGTCTCTGTGTTGTGTGTCACATTGAGCATAATATGTTCTTTGCACAGTCAAATTGCTTTTATTCAGTTTTCAAACCGGACACCATTTTCACATTGAAATGAAATTGCATCCTTTGTATTTACTGAAACACTTGCACAACACCGAAGGAAAATACATATCACCAGAAGATCAAATTCAGTTACCATATAGATTGTGTGAAACTAGTCTCTTGGGAAAAATAAAAGTAATATTTTAAAGCTCATAAAATTCTTTACCATAAGGCTGCAATTTCGAGTTTTGCCAAGATGATATAAGAAGAGAAAACACTTTTTTTTTTGTTAATTTTCTCCTTCATTTTCTCATCTTTATCCCCTTTTATATATGTTCGATTTCAGGCTCTTGTTTTACAACAGAAAGGCAATCTTATGGAGCTAGTGGATCCAAAATTGGGTACAAAGTTTAACAAAGAAGAAGCAATGAGAATCATAAAGGTAGCTATGTTGTGCACTAATCCATCACCAGCGCTTAGGCCTACAATGTCTGCAGTTGTGAGCATGTTTGAAGGTCGTACTGATGTTCATGAAATAATCCGGGAACCAAGCCCTTATGGTGATGAAATGAGGTTTAAGTCCTTAACAGAGATCGATCAAGTTATACTCCAGAGCAGTGAAACTCAGTCCCTCCTTCAATCATCAGATTCTAAATGTATAGGATCATCTTCTACATCTGCTCTCGATCTATAGAAGAATAATTTTGAATTTCATTGTAGTTAACTTCTCGTTGACAGCAACTTTGCTAATTCATGCAAGTACAAGGAACAGAACCGAACAGCACTGTCTTAGGTAGTGCTATAGTAAAATGCTAGACCATAAATGCTAGACCATTACGGAACTGTCTTAGGAAGTAATTTAATAATTTACCATTTAGTGTCAGAATGTGTTCAGACAATTTAAAGAACACAAGAAACACAAGGACCGTAAATGGATATTCGTGCTCGGTTTTGCTGTTTTCCTATTGTTTATGTTCAATCAGCTACTATTACTCTTTGTAGAAACTGGGCCATAACTGTTAGATACTTGGTTAGTTAGCTGTTGTTTCTGGGAGGTCTACCAGCTTGTAGCAGATTCAGTCTGCTACCTTTGATAAAATCTTCAGCTATACAAAAAAAAAAAAAAAAAAAAAAAAGAGCTTAGCAGCATGATAGGTAAAGTAAGAAAATTTATTAACTTGGGAATGATTATGACATACATTAGGCTACAAAATCCGTCAAGTTATTATCAATCCTGAGAGTGATTTTTTTCAGACACAAAACCATGCTTATTTAGGTTATGCTACATCGAAAACAGTAGCCACTAAGGTAAGATAAACCTATTTATAACAGATGCAAATGTCTGAATTGAAATAACATATGCAAGTTACTTCCACACCGATTCAGACGTTATTAAGTGGTGATCTTCCAGTTTCATCAGTGATCTCTGGGGTGTAATCGGCAGAGATATGCACTTCTTCCTCCTTAATGCTAAATTCGCAACTTGCAGGGTTAGATGGCTCTTCCCTGGACATGCTCCTGGAATAATTGGAAAATGAACGGCTAGCCATGGCCTTGGCCCGTGCAAAACCATCAGCTGAATAGGGGGCAAGAGATGGAGTATAATTAAGTCGACTCTTTCCCTTCAAAATTTTTACCACCTCAGACATACTTGGCCTAAGTGTAGGAGATGGGTTAGTGCATAGCATTGCTAATTCCAGAATCGTTTTCGCTTCTTTTGCTGAGTACTCAGAACCCAGAATTGGATCAACCAGAGCTAAAAGGTCTCCCTTCTCTTGCAAGACATAAGCCTGCAGAGTTAGCAAGTTCAGTTTCAAGATAAACAGGAACGTAATCCTCTAACGTGAAGAGAAGAAGTTAATATATGGCTTACCAAATCTAGAAGGTAAACACTCTCATCATTTGGCCTGTAACTGGCACTATTCTGTCCGCTGACAATTTCAAGCAAGACTACTCCAAAGCTGTAAACATCTGCTTTACTGGTCAGATGGCCTCGCATGGCATACTCAGGAGCCATGTATCCACTGTAAGAACAAAAAAAAAATGTTAAAAAGTTTGGTCAAGAAAGAAATTATGAAATTCATTTTTCAGAAGGGCATAACAGCAGAGATAAAATGGTTTTCTGTCAGTACGTGGTTCCAGCTATCTTAGTAATGACATGGGTCTTCTCCCCTTCATGAAGCTTGGCAAATCCAAAATCAGATATTTTTGCTGTAAAATCCTTATCAAGAAGAATGTTTGTTGTCTTGATATCCCTGTGAATAATTTTTAGTTTGGATTCTTCATGGAGAAATGCCAATCCTTTAGCTATCCCACGGCAAATTTTAGACCTGATTGCCCAATTAAGTTGCACCCTCAGTTCTTCAGGACCTGCTTGGTCATATGCTATGCAATAAGTATGTTGAAATCTTCATATAGAAGTGTATCAGCTTGTTTAAATAAAGGCTTACCAAATAATGCATGTGCAAGGGAATTATTTTCCATGTACTCATAAACTAGAAGTAGTTGGTTTTCATCTATACAGCACCCTAGTAGTTTTACTAGATTTAGGTGTTGCAAAGCTGATATAACGCCCACTTCATTGACAAATTCACGACTCCCTTGTTTTGATTTTGCAGAGAGCTGTTTTACAGCTATTACTGTCCCATTGGGAAGCACCCCCTGTTTATGCCAAAATCAAAGCTTTCTTATCAAAACCATGCTGACAGACAGCCAAGCAGCAAGAAAAAAGGGGTCTATACCTTGAAGACAGCTCCGAAGCCTCCTTCACCTATCTTGTTTTCTTTGTTAAAATTTTGCGTGGCAACTTTTAGTTGCCGATAAGTGAAAAGTCCTCCACCAGGCAATGAAATAAGTTCTTTTTGTGCTGATAGTGTCCAAAAAAAAAAACAACCCAGTAAGAACCATTTCAACAACATAATTTAGTGGCCAAACCCCTCTTAACTCTAACTTATTAAGTCTTTACCTTCAATTTTTGATTCCTTGCCACGAAGATAACCCATTTTCCAGAGGCAAACAAAAATCAGAACCAAGAATAGAACAATGGATCCTGAAATCCCAGCAATACTTAAAGGAGAAAGTTTTTTGGGAGGCTTTACAGGTTTTACAACTGCATACAAACATGAAGTTGGTAGTTGTTAAAATTAAGGGGGAAAATAAAAGAAAGGAAACCAGACCAGCTAGCATGGAGAGGTGTGCTGGGAGAGGAGTATACCAGGCTCTACTGAAATAGCGGAAACAAGAGGACCATAAAGCTCAAAGGGGCCACGTTTTGAGCCTTTCCCGGCCCAATATAGGTGAATTTCAAGGCTGTTTTCCCTGACTTCTGCTTGAAACGCCTGAGAAGCGTTCTTATTTAGACCTCCAGCAATATCTTTGATATTAAAATCAGCTAAGACCTTTCTACCCTGCAGTACCAATCAGCTAAGTACAACTTCTGTAGCTAGTATAAAATGAATTCTCATAGATTGATTAATGAATAAAAAAAAGGTTACCTGAATGAAGACATCAAAAAGGCGATTTCCTCTGCTCTTATGTTCAGCTTCCTCTTTAAATGTGATCTCAGCAAAATCAAGTTTTACTATATACAAGCCATTTTTCATGCAGAATCCAAAATACTTCAGAGATACTGGAGCAACACGAGCTGTCTTGTATAATGATGCGTCTTTGTTTTCAAATCCACACTCATCATGGGATTCAATAGAGTGTGTGTAACTCATGGACTTGCTTTGCGTTGGGTCATATATTCCCATGCTACTGTAACCCCATTTCCTGTCATCACTGATATAGAATGTTGAAGCTCCTTCCGGTTGCGTATCGCGTTCAAATGTACCTCTGCCTGCTGTTACCTTCTCACCTCCACAATTGATATACAACCGATCATCTGCAAACCAAATTTTGCTCTTGATGATTAACACACGTTGCTTTTCAAATGCAGTGAAACTCATCTTGTCAACATGAAACAACTTAAGCCACAGACAGTGGCCTACTGATGGTTGGAACTTTCAAATTTTTATTCCAGAAATCAAGGTTTTAGTAAAGTGAGTACCTTGTAATCGGATTAAGCTCAGATGATGGATTCAAAATGCCATTAAAACAACTAGTAAATAGGAATTTTAACACAAGGAAAAGCAACTTGCCTATTTAAAAACAAAAAAAAAAAACAAAATGAAGGAAAGAAATTACAAATTTGAAACAAAAAGGCTACTTACTTTCCAATTTGTCTTCATCACAGGAGAAATTATTCCTTTGCCATGCATTATCCCTATAAAAATATAAAAATGGGTTAGAACTAGAATTCACAAACAAGATATATACCAGTGCTTGAAAAAAATGGAGAAAGAAGCTGAAGCCGGAGCTTACAACTCTACTGACGGAGAGCAGCATGCAAATGAATTCCTGAAAATTTAAGCATGGGAAAAAAGTAATAATTAATGGAGAAGCTATAAAGAAAAGGGTAATTTTCTTTTCCTCATTTGCCTTACATATTCCTGTTGGATCTGTAATTTACTATAGATGAATATGTGAAATTGTTCTCTGAGAAATCCCTGCACAACATCACACTTAAAATCGTTAAAAACAGAATGATTTCTAACTCAAGAACAATTTATGATATATTTAAAGACTGCTTGTTTTTATTATTTTTCAAAAGAAATAATTCAAGACTATCTGCAGCTGCAAGAATTACAGTTGGTTTTCCTTATTTAAAATGAAAAAACTACATACCAAAATTATCTACATTGGTGAAAGTAAAAGTGAAATTGGAACTTACAGGTTTGCTTCTGTTTTGTTGGAAAACCATGTTGGAATCGGCCCTGTTAGTTTATTTGCTCGAAGAAATCTGATAAAAGGGTAAAAGGACATTAACCACACAAATAACATAATTGTCTCTAGATGTTCAAACAATGAATAATTACATAAATGAAAATTGTTATAGTTAAATTCTTTAAACTAAGTTTCACATCAAAACAAACACAGTTTTAAAATGTTGTAAACACAAATCTAAAACAACTTCTCTTACATATTTGTTAGGTTTCCATACTCGGGGAAATCTGGGACTTCACCAGTCAATTTGTTGTAGCTCAAGTCCCTACGTCAAATAATTCAAATAAAAAGAGAAACAAGAGAGAAAAAAAAACAGAACCAGAAATACCAGAGAATATGATGCTTGCTTATTGCTGATATTGCAAAGAACCCATTTCTCATCTAATACTCTAATAATTCAGATGACGAGAAGTGGAAATAATTAACGGTTCAAGCTCACTTCTATATGGAAAGGTGATGTCTCTGTCATACTTCGTTTATAATATTTCCATCTCTGTTAAACTGTTTTTCTTTTTAAATCTATATCAATGAAAGTTACCTAATCTTTTGATTGTGGCAGGAATCTTCTATCTGCCTGTTAAGATTTCAATATGTAGAAACTAATGTGAAAAGTGATGATTACTTCCTGGAATTAAAAATTTACTTGAAGCTAAGTCAAAGAGGTTCATCATTTTTGAGAGCACATCTCATCTACAAAATGATACAACGTGATCTTACTCCTTGGCCATTGGCCAACACAACTTTACGCAGCATATCATTATCTATATATATGTTACTTGAATTTTTTTACAGTTATCCAAGAGTAATTAGCATGTTCTGGAGAAAGTGACTTACAGATGGCTCAGGGCTTGGAAACCACCAATATATCGTGGGATTGAATCATTGATTGAACAGTTTCTCAGGACCCTAACGAAAGGCAAGTGTTATAATTAAATTACCATAAAGAAAATATGTCCTGATAAAAGGCTAATTAATATTTCAGAAATAAGACTCACAAAGTTTCAAGATGTATCATTCTTGAAATATCTGGAAATGGAAAAACTTCTCCATTTCTTCCATACAAGTCAGCAATGCGCCTGGACAGTCAACACCAAACAGGATATCAGAGGTTAGAAACAATGATATTAGTTCAATTCAAATTTCGGACCCATCCAGCTGCAGTAAGAGCATTACATCTCGGTGACATTCTTCAGGGAGGATATTGTATCAGGAAGAGGCCCTTCAAAATGGTTCCCTTGAAGTATCCTGTTAAAACCAAAATGTTCTAAGCAAATATTCTGATCAAAGTTCAGAACATTCAGTCAGCATAAAAAATGTAACTGGTGCTTACAGTATTTCTAACTGATTCCAGTTTCCAATATATCTTGGGATTGGACCAATGAATTCATTCCCCCTAACATTGCTGCAAATGGAAAAACCAATAATCAAAGATACAGTCTGAAGCGAGATAAAGGAACATGAAAGAGGAAAACTTTCCCTTACAAGTGCCTTAAGTTCGTAAGATTTGCCAGACATGGAGGCAACTGTCCTTGAAATTTATTGTTTGCCAGCACCCTGCAATTATAGAGAAAGCAAATATATATTCATGCCAGTTAGGCAATCAAATTCAAGAAAATTCAGTTTCTATTCAACTTGGAGGATAAAGAAAAAGAAAACCTTACATGCGATAGACATTCTGTAGGTTTCCAAGAGATTTAGGAAGTAACCCAGTTAACTGGTTGTCAGATAAACGCCTGAGGAAAGCAAGTCAAAAACAGAATGGTGCAATGGTTAGTATAGGCAAGAACAAGTTGCAGAAAATGGGAGCTCAGTGATGGCAAGGTATTACAGGAACTCAAGGTTCGAAATGTTTCCTAAACTCTCAGGAATTCTTTCAGAAAGTAGGTTCTCTGCTAAGTCCCTGCAAGCAAAAAAATAAATGATAATACACTAAAAACCTATTTTGCAGAATTAGGATAGATCAATTTTCATGGTATGATATATGACATGCTTGTGAATAGAAAACGATCAGGACTCTGCTACTTACAGAGTTTTAATAGATGATGAATTGCCCAGATTTTGTGGTATTGAACCCTTTAGCCAGTTTTCTGCTAGAATACTTCAACAAAAGTACCATGAAAGAGAAAAATTAGTAAAGAAAATGTCAAAAAGTTCAAATAAATTCACAACGTAATCCATAATGACAAATTAAGGTGAGGAAACAAATGGCAAGACTAAAAAATTGCATGTGTGAAGAATTCTGGAGTACTCACAGAACATTTAATGAGTTCATTTCGCCAAAGAAATCAGGTATAGGCCCTTCCAGATCATTGGATGAAAGATCGCTGTCATAAATTAGGATTGTAAACTTAGGAGTTTATGTCAAAAAATCAAAAGAAATGATCAAAATAACACGAGTTATACTACGTAGCTTGCTAGTAGGCAGATTTTAATGGGATGTGAACAACAAAGGAACTTACAGGTATTGAAGTTGATTCAGATTTCTTAATGAGTCAGGAATGTTTCCATGGATCCTGTTTGAACCCAAGTCGCTGAAAATGCAGCAACAATCAAAAAAAAAAAAAAAAAAGAAAGAAGAAGAAGAAACAGGATGAAACAATACTTTGAAAGCATTATTTACCCAAATGAAAATAGTCATAGACATGATCATGATTATCTAGACATGAACATGCATATGTGTATATATATCAAACTTGGTTAACAAAATTTTAGAATCCTTCGGATTGAGACAACACCAATGATTTCCTATTTTGATAAAATCAAACACTACTGATTTTTATCTTGATAGGATAATTGTTTGATTCTTTTCTTAGAAAGAGCTAGAAAATCTTTTTAGGGTGCTCCAGTCATTGAAAGACGATACCAAAAGTTTATAATTGGGAAGGTTAAATTTTAAATATAGATTAATGAAATTAAAAAACACTCTATCAATCACATAATTATTGAGGAGATTAAAAAAAAAATACTTACAGCGAGATCAGGCAGGTCAAATTTCCTATAGCCGGAGGAATTTCACCCCTTAGATGCATGTCAGAAAGATCACTGTCAATGTCAAACAGCTAAGAACGGTTAAAATTTTTCTTTTAAAAAAATAAGTACTAACAGTTAAAATTTCCATCAACCAAAGATTAGTTATAAACACATTAAATCATTTTTTTTTCTTTTTTTGATATTGAAAAGAAATATATTCCACGCACATATTTTATAGTATAAAATGAAGAGAGATTTTCGTACATTCTCGTCACCCGACAAAGTGTATGATCGTTGAAACTGCAATCGCAGAGCACCTTCGATGAGGAATTACAACCCTTACTTGAGAATTCACTCTCGTCGCTTTCCCAAGTCAACCTCAAAGCATGAGCAACCCTATTGATAGCATCCACTAGCATATATGCAAATATAAACATGTTAGTCTTCCCGCACAAAATATTTAGATATTAAAAATATCTTAATATTTAATTTAATGATTGATAAAATAGATCAAAAATTTTAAAAAATCTGAAAAAGATCAACTTCTATAGCCTAGTATTAGAAGCTACCATAATAATTAAGCCTATACGAAATAAAAAAGAAAACTAATGTCTTGTCAACTATGTTGCTCAAACAAAAATACCATCACTGGGGTCTAGATCAACTGTAGTTTGAGTGAGAGCTTCGTATTGCATGGCTTGAGCTTCATGACTTACTACCAGAAGCAGAATTAAAACAACAGAAATAATTAACAGCTTTCCTCTCAACATATTTTCCCTCAATGCTTGATTACTACTACTACTACTGCTACTACTCTCTTTCTCACCTATTGGTTTTCATGGCATTGCCTTTCTACCTACATATATATACTAATTCCAAGAGCCCCCCTTCTACAGGGGAACTATATGTTCTGCCAACTTGACCATATTTTAAGAATAAAATAACAGGCACCAACCAAGACATCCTTTTAAATGGAAAACACATTTCCCATTTAATGCCAACGGGTCAACTTTATTAAGACTACAATCCCATATATATTATTGCTCATGCTATTCTTTCGACTTTGTGACTCTGCAAAGTATAATATATACCTCCATGCCATCTCATTTTTATGGCATATATATTTGATTCCTTCAAATTTACTTTTTGTTTTCATATGTGAAGATTATAAGCATAACTAAACATCAATAAAAATCAAGTAATACATTTCATATAAAAAATTAATGAATTGAAATAAATAGATAAATGGATCAATGAATCAATATATAATTAAAAAAAAAATAAAACGGCAATTTTTTTATTCTTGATGTATATCTGTCATTACTCATTTGTCATATCATTTTTTTTTATAAATCTCTTTTTCAATTAGGAATTCTTAAATCTAAAATCTCCTTCATCTCCCAACTTAATTTTTTTAGAAATCACCTCGAAGATTCCAATAGGGTATGTAGTTTGCTTGGAGTCAACCACACAACGCGTAGAACTGATTGAGGAAATTAGTAATAAAATAACTTAATTATAAGGAATATGAATGAACATTTGACGAGTCCTATAAGACGTATCCATTTTTGAATCCATATTTCAGTGCTAAGTATATTTTTCTTGCATGTTCCCACTCCCACATGATAGAAGATACATGATTTTCAAAGTAACTGAAAAGCATCCGTTATTGTTGAATTTTTTATTTTAATGATCTAAATTTAAATATTAATAATTATAAATAAAAATAAAAAATAACAAAAAGGGGTAACTTATCACCGGAATTTGGGGAAACATGATGTTTTGATTAAGGACTGAGCCACGTGCCACGCGAATTTTTTGTGGATATTTATACCCAATCTGTAAGTTATTGTCCGTTTTGACTGAAGGTCTCACAGTTTTGTTTCACAAAAAATGTTTCACAAATTTGAGTTTAAATCTCTATATATATATATCAAATCCTCAAAGCATCTTAATGTGAGATTGGGGCATTACAAACTACCATTGTTAAAGCTACATCAAGTTAACCCAAAGCATATAGATCCATCGAATTATAATAAACGTGAATTACACTAAACGTTGGGCAAGCCCAACATAAAATACACACAGATTAGAAGTTAAATTTGGATTTAAATATATATATATCATAGCAGATTCTCAAAGCACACAAATCTATCAAATTATACTAAATGTTAATTATACTAAATGTTGGGCAAGCTTAACATAAAGTACGCATAGATCACACCAGACATTAAATTTGACTTTAAATCTCTACATATATATTATAACAGATTCTTAAAGTATCTTGATGTAGGATTAGAACATTACAAACTACCTCTGTTAAAGCTATGTCAAGCTCAACACACAAAGCACATAGGTGATCAGACATTAGGATTCTATAGGTGGCTTTCACTGTATAACACTTAGCTTTTGTCCGACTAATAACAGCTCTAATATCATTTATAGATATCTGCATCCAACTTAAGATGTATTGTTCGCTTTAACCTAAAAATCTCATGATTTTATCCCATAAAAGACACTTCACAAATTTGAGTTTAAACTTCTACATATATATCATAATAAATTCTTAAAGCATCCCAATGTAGTATTGAAATGTTACAATTTTAATGTCCAAAATTCTTTCTATGGGTTTTTTACTCGTAACCCACACGAGATACATGTTGCAGGAGAAACTAGTGAAGATTTGAACAATGTATTGGAAGGAAATAGTGAAGAAACTGACCATTGAACAATTTATTAATGGAATGAAATGATGAAGAAATTGACGATTCCGATGGAGTGTGGATAAATAATTTTGACCAATTACAACTCCTAGAATGAATGAAGCACGCACCTCTTTTGAAGGTCATTTGTAATGTATGCTCCATTAATTTCATCTTAGTCTTTTGAACAATGCAAAACATGATGAGAAACTGTCACCTAAGTTTGGAGTGGTTGGAGGGTCCGGAGCTCGGTGGAAATTGGTGGACATGAGGGGAAATAATGATCGATATAGTGCGCATATAGGATGTGAAACACTTGGGCAGACCATAGGCTTTTGGATCGGTGATCGTCTGATCCACTTTATATAATATATATTATGCTTGATGCGTAAGATAATGATAATGATAGAATAATAATTATTTTATATTATATTTAGTTTGTATTTTAAAAAATTGATAGAATTATTAAAATAATTAATTATTCTTTTAGCATAGGATGATTCAATCCTTCTAAAATAGAAAAAATTATTTTTAATTCATATGATTAAATTTACATATTTTATTATACTTTTAAAACTTAAATCAATAATTTAAATTATATAAACTTTAAAAAAGAATAATTTTGATCAATAAATAAAATTATCATTTTTTAATCCTTACACACATCAAATATAAGATAAAATAAGATATTTAATTTAATTATATTAATAATATTATTTTATCTTATTATAATTTTATATACCAATCACACTCATAAAAATAAAAAAATAACCCAAATGAATTGAAAGAAATATTTATGATAAAATTCCCAATTAAAAATCAAAATTTTGAATTTAAACTTAAAAATTTTGGATTCATGTCGAAATCATAGGATAAAAGAGGTGACATTAAATTATAAATTATAAGTATGCTTAATTACGAATACATCTAGTAATTTTAAACATGACACAAAAATAATATAAAAAAAATTGTGTATGAATTTAGTGTAATTGTGTTTCGTGTCTTAATCATGTTGATACGAATAGTACACTTAAAACATAGTATTATTTATAACATAAAAATTTATAATTTACTTTAATTTATTTAAAAATAAATTAATAATCGTATTTATCATATCATTTAATATTTAAATAGATTATAAATATTTAATTTTTAAATAGTTTTTTATTTAAATACTAATTTAAATTTTTTTGTTTAAATAAATAAATTAATTATGTCTAATCATGTTATTCTTTTATAATCATATTAATCGTGTCGTATCAAGTCATATTATTCGAGTATAAATTAATTTTAAATATATTAATCGTATCGTATTACATATAACACGTAAAGTAAACGTGTCATGTTCGTATTTAAATTATTTGTATCATTTAGATATTCATATCGTGTTTATGTTAAGATTATTCATATTATATTTAAAATCATGTCTAACACAAGATATGATAACACGAATTGTCAATACAAATTATTTATTGAAATTAAATGAATTTCACGTGTTGGATACATTTTCAAATCGTAATTGCATAAATTGGAAAAATGAATTTGAATACCGGCAGAGCTATGGCACTTTCTATAAAATGTAATTATTTAACTTTCCTTTTGTGAAAGTCGATTGATTTCATCAGAGCCAGAAGTAATTTGGGTAATTGACCAATCATATCGTCAAGACACGCCCCAAATAAACAAATAAGCACTCAGAAACAAAATTATTAATTATTTTATGTAAATATATAAAAGTCAAAATTTTTTAAAAAATTAATATTGATATTTTTTTAACACGTAGATTACTTAACTTGAAGTCATGTGTATATTAATTAATGCAAATTTAATTATTAGTTATTAAATTTTTAATAGGTAACAAAATCAATTAAATTTCTTTATATAGTTGGCTAGCAAAATTTTTGGAATCATATTATTACTATTTCACAAAGAATGAGATTTTATTTAAATTTATATTATTTTTATGGTCTTATTTCAAGCTTGAATATCTTTTATTATTGACAATAATAATGAAAAATATATGATAATTTCATTTCAAATTTCAAAACATGTTATGAAAAATATATGATAAATCAAAACTTTTTGAAAAAACAAATCAACTTAAATAGTTTATTTTTATATTATATTCAATGTGAATAGGCCTTTAGGTAAGTGATTATCCGACCCACTTTATATAATATATATCATGTTTTATACATAAGATAACAGATGTGGTAGTAGGATAATTATTTTATATTATATTTAATATATATCTAAAATAATTGATAAATTTGTTAAGAGAATTAATCATCCTCTAAGCGTATGATGATTTAATCTTTTTAAAATAAAAAAGTTTATTTTTAATTCATGATATTAAATTTACATATTTTATTATATCTTTAAAAATTAAATTAATAATTTAAATTATATAAATTTTTAAAGAGGGATAATTCTAATTAATAAATAAAAATTTATTTTCTTAATATTTATGTATATCAAATATAAGATAGGATAACATTAATTAATTTAATTATCAATTAAAAATCAGAATTTTGAATTTGAACTTAAAATTTTCGGATAAAAGAGGTGACATTTATAGAAAATTAGAAAATTTTCTCTAATTAAATTATAAATTATATATATGCTAAATTATGAATAAAAATTATTTATTGGAATCGAATGAATTTCACGTGTTGCATACATTTTCAAATCGTAATTGCATAAATCGGAAAATTGAAGTTGAATAACGGCCATGCAACTACCCTTTTTGTGAGTGTGGATAGATTTCATTAGAGTCAGAAGTAAAAAAGGTAAATGACCAACCAAGTGGTCAACACACGCCCAAAATAAACAAATAAACACTCAAAAACTAAAATTATAAATTATTTTATATAAATATATAAAAAAAACTTTTAGTAAAAAAGAAAATCCAATATGAATACTTTTTTTTTTAACATATGAATTACTTAACTTGAAGTAATGTGTTTATTAATTATTAGTTTTAAAATATTTAATAGATAACAAAATCAATTAAAATTTATAAAATTGGCTAGCAAAATTTTTGAAATTATATTATTGCTGTTTCACTAAGAAACATTTACAGCTTTCTATCAACCAAAATGAAAAGAAAACTTATAACAAAAGTATTAAACTGATGCAATATATAGCAAAAACAAAAAACACTTAATTTTATGAAGAATTTTTTTGTTAAAATTGCATTTTGAACAAAGGT